GAACAGGGGATTTCAAAGAAGGTTGCGGAATTACCTGTTTTAGACTGAATGGTGAATGTGTTATCCAGTGAAATGTTACGTGCGGATAAACAGAACTTTGTTTTTGAATCATACCTAAACAGTTTATACGGGACTAAGAATGTTTTCACGTGTGGGATTAACTCAAACAGCTAGAATTACAATTTTTTTTTAAAAAAAAAGTTTGGTTGCATCAGCTTAACTAAATGGACCCACAATGGGGACACCGCGACTTTTTTCTGTTTAAGTATTTAAAAAATCCACCCCTACTTTGTGACATCGTCCATGTCTGAACATGGTGGTAGTTCCGATGAGTTTGTGGGGATTTGACAATGAGGGGTGTCTTCTGATGACTTGATTAAAGGGGCACAAATCAACTGTGAGTGTACCGCTAGTAATCTTCACTAATTTCATCCCTTGTAGTAACCTCCCTTTTATCCATACCTCTCAGAGGGCTGTTACGCCACGGATTATTATTATTATTATTATTATATTACTCCAGGATCTAAGCTATTAACGTGATGAGCATTACAACAGATGGGAATTCAATAAAGAAGCAGACTTAGTCATTTAAATAATTACAGGCGTCAGTTATTTAAACATAAAGTGGTATGGCGTACTGATACAATTAGAGGACAAAACAGAAGAAGCTGATCATGGAAATTACTGAGTTCGAGAGCTACTAAAATATTTTGAATGTATTCATGCAATTTGAAAAAACACGTCAATTCGGTTCCTTGCTTAGGCGGCGACCTCAAATTGCAATCAGATGAGATGACCTGAAGGTAAAAATAGAGCGAGTACTGGACAGTCGACAATGTGTGGTCACGTATAAAGCACTGTACATAACATGTACGAGGATCTCTGAAACACTCTGTGTAACAGCAAATTCTTTTGACTAAATTTACGAGCATAGCCCGTGAGTCCTTTAAATTGAGAACAAGTTAAGAACGAACATGTTAGCCACGTACACATCTGTGAGGTCTGTAAAGATTGCAAATCATCTACTAACACAGATAGGAGTTCAGCAAAATTGTCTTTAGTGGTAATTAGACTGTCGTTGAGAGTATAAATGAATTAAGTGACTCGACAAAACTATGTCACGAAGACATTAAACTACCGATACCAAATACTTGAGTGTATGTTTTGTTACTTGGTTTATTTAACGATGATTTATATAAAGACAAAGGAACGCGTTTCATTACTATTAAAAATTGGCTGAAACTATTCCGGGAAACCGCTAACGTGAAGTTGCAACAGTGCCAGGGTAGAGACAGTCGAAACGAAAAGCATATTTAGGAAATAAATTCTTCTCGGTCTATCAGCCGTGTTAGATGGTGATTACTCGCCGACGTTTCGAGGACCATCTCTGTCCTCATTTTCAAGGCTGTTGACTAACACGGCTGATAGCCCGAGAAGACTTTATTAATTAATTAATTATTTAGAAACGTTGTCACAGATGAGATTTACTGATCTTTCCGAACAGTTCTATAACCACAATTAAACAACATACACCTGGGCTTAAAGCTAAAGTGACAGCTTTGCTACTGGTAATATGAAATACAAGCTGTAAGGTTATAGTCATACTTCGGTTGAAATTCTTTGCCTTGTATCACTTTACCCTGGCACCGGCAAATTCTTGTTTTATTTGTTTCCACTTCTCTCTTCTTGTTCCCCTCAGCATGGAACACACCTAGAAATTCTTTCACTTTTAAAACCGAGAAGAAATTGTGTTCAAGAAATTCCTATTCTGTTTTAAGACAGCTGTAATGCTGTATATCTTCCAAGTGGATCATGTAACTTGTAACTATCGGAACACCTTGTTCATTAGGATGCGCTAAGTAGGAGCGAGCGGTAGGCAGCTTGTTCTGTGTGCCGTACATGTTTCAGTCTCATTTAGCATCATTAGGACGGAGCAGCGTACAGTCGGACATCCTCACGGTTTAGTAGTTTGCATCTAAATGGCGTTTAAATACGAAGCAAAGACTGCCACGTGTATCACCCACGTTGCCTGGGAAACCTGACGCTCATTACCGTTCGTAATGTCCGTGTATAACATCTTGGTGCTTTTGAATCCATATTTTGCTCCACGAATAAATTGCAGATACTAAACTAAAAACTTATCTATGTTGAAGATGGAGGCAGTATGTTCGTCCGAAATGTTGGTATCTATGTACAAGTGCCCACAGTGTTATAATCCATAAAATAAATGACAGGTAGAATATAGCTTTATAGAGCACTTAAAATCAATGTGGGTCCAAGAAGAGACGAGAACTATGCTGAGGGGTGGGGGGGAGGAGCAATTCGGCAACGCATTTCTGTCAGATTTATTTAAGTCACACTACACCGAAGACATTTTAAAATTATAGTAATTATAAAATTAAGATCAGATTAAATTCGGAAAATGACTGCTAATATTCGTTACAGAATGTGACGCGGAAAACGTCATAGTAACAAGCTCTCAAAATACCTTCAATTCGCCTGTCATTATTAGGTTTATTACAAGAAGAGGGGTAAAATTTAGCATGCACGGTGCAAATGGGAGAAATTCTGCAGATATATTTCAGAATAAGAAGAAATTCGGTAGACCAGAAGGCAGACGGGAAGACAACATTTAATAAATCTTAGGTAACAGAAATGAAGGTCTGGCTGGATTTAACTTGATCACGTTATAATTTATTTGCAAGTTTTTATAACACTGGGATGAACCTTCGCGTTCCAAAAAGTAAGAAATTTATTCAACAGGTGAGTAACTATCAGCTTTTACATAATGGTCCTTTCACTGATTCAGTGACGGATAAATTAGGCGTCAGTATTTGAACACAAATTTAAGGAACAAAGTATTTTTAAACAACTGGGCTAATTTATAAATACCCATGAGTACCAGCATCTTTACACGAACGTTACCTATGTGAGGATGGTTCATATTTGAGTATAAAAATCTTGTGTCCACTAAATGTTGTTTCGGCAAACAGAAACCTGTGTGAATATTCATCGGTTTGTTGAACTGTGTGTTTGGTGGAGATATATGTTTTTAAGTACTTTTTTGTTGTTGGCATATTAAATATGCACAAGGACAGTCAGAGAAAGTTTGCATGGGTTAGAATGTCATGTTTGAAGTTTTAAGCTCGTGACTTTTATGCTGGCCGTTAACTTCTTTATCAACATGTGTTCCTTGTGTGCGAACTATAATTTTCACAACTTAACGACCAATGGGATACTGGATACTGGGAACGACCCGTTCTTCAAGTGCCTGAGCACTGTGGGTCCCAGCTTTTCGTTGGCTTGATCTATAGACATTCGGTAGGACTCCTTGGACGAGGGATCGGCCCGTCGCAAGGTCTCTACCTGTACACAGGACAGCACAACAAACATCCATGGCTTGAGTGAGATTCGAACCCACGGTCCCAGCGACCAAGCGGCAGAAGGGTACACGAAAATTACGGAAATTTTATGGGCGAAGTTTCGGAGTATTACGTAAGCCTGTTTAGTTATTCATTAAATCCTGTTGTTGAGGTGTTAAGATTGAATATACAAAATTATTTAAAATTACTGTGAAGTTGAAACTCGGGTGTCAATCGAAAAAGTTTAAGGTTACCGACGTTTCAGAGGTACTTGCAGCGATGAGTAAGACGCGCGCGGGGCTTACTCATAACCCTGATGGAGGCAGCAAGCACCTCTGAAACACCGGTAAACTCCTACCAGACTACACGGCGCATCACAAAGACAAGTCATCATCTAAGACGTATGTATAGACCAGACTACACAGCGCAATAACCCAGAAGACAGAAATCTTTATATTTAAGATGCTTTCATTATGAGAAGGAAGTATTTAAAATAATTTCAATTGTGTATATTGTGTTTCAAGGGACACGTATGTATGTATGCATGTAAAGAAAGTCGGAACAAGATTGACTTTCGTGTCTTTGACAAACGATGTTCCAAAATTTTATTACATCGCCATACTAGTACTGTTAAGCACAAAAGGAATGTTTAACAGACAAATTTGTAGACATTCTATAATCTCCAGCAAAGTTTAATTTAGTTAACGATAATGCCTGGCGGTTACATAGTCTGCAAGTAGAAAAGCAATGGCGACAGGCTTGTTATTGGATAAGTTTTGAAGGCCAGAAACGATAAATGCGGTCACATTCGCGCCGAACTACTTCAAGGATGTCGGCAGGGAGTTTGCAGTAACAGCGGCACGACATTTCCATAACTTTGCCCGCTACTTTTCGGAATATCAGATATACGTGCTTAACAATCTCTGAGATTTCACAGTCCGTGTTCTTAACTACTAGAGCAAAGGGTGTTATGTATGGTCAGCTCACAGGAAAGCATGTTTATAATAAACCTTGATGTGAAAGGACATCAGAGGGGAATTTCCAAAGAAGTGTTGACCGATGGCCGGACAGAATTATGTGTGACGTCGGAATTCCCGCTCCCACTTCGGTTTCTCTTTCACTCAAGTCACCAGGTCTCATAAATCACTTGCTATCGATGGAAAACAGGAGGTCGTTTCTTGGCGGCAACATTAGTGATATGTCTGAAACATAACTGGACACAACCGTATATGCAGATTTAAGACGTAGTCGATTGTAAGACCTACCCTTGATTTAGTACAATAGGAATTGTGAACATTCAAACATGAAACTTCTTTGCTTTAATATATTCGGGATCTTCTTTTGTTGTTCTTTTACGCACATGACGATTTTCCCTTGTACAGTCGTCATAAATATAATTTTCAAAATCGATTCTCAGACGCCATAAAATGAAAGATAATTTAAGTGAAAAAAGGACGTCTTAAAATCAAGGAAATACTGCATTTATATTCACTTTTTAACTCCTCCATCACATTGATATTCCGAATAAACGCAGAGGGATACTTAACAGATATATCAAGTTTTGTGAGTGAAACCAAATAACCTCTGTTGCAAACAGAACGCCATTTATATAAAAATATCTTCTTTTATCCCTTTCAGGTTACAATTTGCAACATGCAAGTTCCACCTCTCCTTCGGATCTACTTATCTTTAACGTTACATGCATGGAACAAACAGAAGAAGTCCACCTAGCGCAGCTACACCTTCATCGCCGCCGGCTACCTCGTCATCACCACAGTAACCACTACAGTCGCCGTGTTCTGTTACCACCTTACAGAGTTCGCCTCTATCAGATCCTGCAAGCGCGGCGTACACCCGGACGGGCACGTTCATCGCCACCCAGAGCCCAGAACGCGAGGCCCACCAGGGCACGAACTATGCTCCTCGCCTCCGTACCCGTTCCCCAGGCGACACGCGGTGGTTGGCATGCACTAGATATCACCCCTGTTCTACGGGAGCTGCTACTTAATGCTCAAGGTCCAGTGGCTGATCTGATGCTAGGAGTAAGGTTTGAAGCACCAAAAGGAAGGCCAATTTCACCAGAGCACTTTCTTCGAGATCCTGACGACGGTAATACCACGAAAAACAACGTCGCGGCACCGGCATTTCTTGTGGTGTTTTCTGAAGATGGTTCGGATAACGGCTTGATGGATGACAGTGGCGAAACACAACTGCAAACTCCCCCATCACACACACACGCAATGGCAAAAATGTTGCAGACTGCTGGCGGAGACTTCCTGAAGGGAGTTAAATCAGTGCCAAAACACCCATTGACAATCAAAGACACAGAAATTAATATCAGTAACAAAACAAGGAACGACGACTTTTATATAGAAGCATCAGATAATGGCCATGAAAATAACGAGGTAGACGCAAGTCTCAGACAAAATCACAAGTCCAAGACACCAAAAGGAAATCGTACACATGTAGATGAAGACGGTAATTCGATCGACTTTGGAAATCATCAAATACACGCAAGAAAGGATCCATTACAAGAAAAAAAGAGAACTGTTTTAAGAAGAAGGATGTATTTGAAGACAAAAATACATAGTTCTGAAGATAAATTCGACAGTAAGAAACGAAATTTGAAAGAAAGCAACAAGAAACCTTACGTTTCCGAAACTAATGAAGTTGAATTGGCTGCCGGTGAGAGATCGCCACATCGGAGAGTGGTCAGATCAATACTGGATAACGAGCTGCCAGACGAATACCCCCGTCCGACCAAAAGCGTGCCTCGAACTTCGCCCGGGACTCTACTGCAGGGCAGGAGAAACGGCAATGTTGCTCATGGCAAGGACGACGCGAATACGATACCGCTACCACCTGGAGGATCCGCGGCGTCGAACGGGAGGTGGAGAGGAGGAAGGAGGCGGCGGAGAGGACGAGGCAAGAAACGAGGTGAACACAAGAAGAGGTCCAGGAAGTTACCTGAAAACTGGCAACACGTAGAGCAGGTAAGAGTATACATCTGTTATAATGCATCTGGTTAGAAAAAAACATTGAACAAGGTTAGACAAACAAGTTTACTGTCAGGAGTAAGGATGTTCAATGGCAGAGATTTCACTTGTCAGTACATTTCCACAGATATCTACAATTTAAACTAAAATGCTAGTTATGCAATTCATTACGCGCTGGCATCCATGTTTTTGCTCTGAATTGTATCCAGAGTTTAGAACTAAGACTGACGACCATCATAATTCAGTATTTGCGCCTAAAACTGTTAAGGCGACTAAATGAAGGATAATTAAATAGACAGGGCATGTGGCACGCTTGATGAGATAAAAAATACGCACAGATCATCTGAAGGAAAAGAATATTAGGAAAACCATGATATAGAGGGGAAAATAATTATTAAAATGGATCGTAAAGAAATAATATGCCACATGATCTTTCCATTTCTTATTAATTTTACGTACTTTGTGCAAAGAACGCATGAAAACTCAGTTGAAAAGAGTTACTTACAATAAAAGAATATCTGTTTCTGATACGTTAAGTGAAAATGCCTTATTAAACCCACTGGGATGCAAGCCTTCAAATGTAAGCACAAGGAAAACAAATATCGCGATACGATAAGCTTAAAGAACTTCTCAAGTGCCTCTTCTTATAAAAAGGATTCCTACTTTTACTTTTTTCGCTATCGGACGATTCCTTTTTCCACGTTTCTCCTTCCATTATATTATGTCAGTTCCATTTGGGCAATTCGATAAGTTTCCCCTCTCTGTGCTGTTAAGAGCAGTTCAAGTGCCAACGCGCTGTGCTTGCTTCCAAGAGTTTCCTCTGCTTCTGGATTCCCGTTCTCTAGCACCAGCCACATTAAATACCTCAGAGAAGATATTAAGCTACTCTTACTTCGTCCACCACTTCAATTCAACCACGATTTGTATTTCTCTATTTACTTTGTGTTGTACAGAGTGCTGCACGAAACCCTACCGATTAAGTTCCTTAGCAGGAGTGTGACGATTTGATTTCAATTTTATTTTATTCACTTTATGCAGCCGCAAAATAATTTGAATACGTTGTAAAAAAAGTTAATAAATATCAAGTTTTAATAATATATAGATACTCCCAAACTATCGAAAGCGATTTGCAGCTTTATTTATCGACGCTGTCAATAGATCAGAATATACAGTGTAGAATGATACGATAATTACCAAAAAAATACTTAAAAAGCTATAGACGTCACGGCGTCGTCACCAAACCTGCTAGGTACCCACCCATGCACAGATCATTCACAGGCTGGTTTATCACTTAGTGGTAACGGTTCTGATCGAACCCGATACAGTTTGAAAAATATCATTGCCAGAATCATTTTCTTCATCATCATAATCAAAACATTATTCTCCACGTGCTAACACACACCAGACGTGACTAAAATACCATATTTGGAAATTTTGTTTACTCTGCCAGAGTAGCTACATATTGCCAGCCTTCAGTGCTGCAGGAAGACAAATATTTTCAAGACGCATTAAAATAAATTTGAAACATTCCTCATGAAATTCAGCAGTAAGCATTTCCTCAATAAATCTTGCAGGATGAACACTGGCGACAGAACGACGCTGAACTGGACTCGTCGTCTGGTGCAGGGGAAGGCGTTCCTACTTGTCGTCGCCACAAGCTCGAGGTAAAGTTCGCCGACATAGGTTGGAGTGACTGGATAATCTCGCCGCAGACATTCGAGGCCCACTACTGCGCTGGCAGCTGCCCCTTCCCACTCACCAAGGTACGCAACACTCCTTACAGTACGGAGTGAGGTGGTTTACGGTATTAACACTACAGCACTTTGGCACTCTTGACTTCTGCGTTCAAATTCTGTCTGTGGGTGGACTCCTGCCGAGGATATAATC